GGGGGGACTATCTTACAGAAATACCAGAAAGGGAAATTCTTTGCTGTAAATTGAGAAAACAAGTATACATTAATACAATATATCAAAACTGAAAATAAAACTTAAAATCATGACAGTTTGGGGGCCATGCAAGCCGCTGTATTTGGGGAACAGACACAGATTTAGAGTGGTAAGAAGATGAATAAAAACATTCCTGACTTTTCAAGCTCAGTTTTCTTTTTCATTGGAAAGGTCATGTCTAACAGCCAGCCTTCAGGAATTGAACTGTCTACAATTTTACTTTATGCCCTTGATGAAAAGGGCCGGATTCAATATGAACCTGAAGTACCTAGAGGCCTTGGGGAGGAACATGTATTTTTCTCCACAGGGGGAGACCCTAGCCTGTGTTTTCTATTAAAAACCCTTCCCCCTAGTGCCAGGAGAGATGTACATGCATTTTTTTTCTAGCTGAATGAGAGAAATTCTTTTCCTAAAATAGCTATAGAAAACTAGAGGTCGAAATGGTTATTTTCCCCAGCGTCCTCATGTGCCACCCATTCTCAGGGCCCTGGAAAGCAGGCCGAGATGGAAGCCCTGTGTGGAGGGGACCGTGGCCACAGGGCACGCCGGCACCGCTCACAGGAATGGGAAGGAGAACCATACGAGGCAACAGAAAAATAGTTGCCTCGTGGGCTCTCTGGTTAATACGATCTGTGAGAAATCTTAAACTTTGGGGGCTAACAGTAGACATTTCGTCATTACAATCGTGTTCTTAATAGAAAGCTCCAGGGGCAAAGTGAGCCAGCATCTGGGTGGGCAAGAGATTCTGTTCACCTTGAGCTGGCATTGGAGACGATGGAAGTAAGAAGGTGCTTGGCTCCAGAACTTGAAATCTACATCAGGGATGAAAGGATTTGGAAATGATTTTGAAATACTTCCCAGGCAGCAGTCTTCATTACCGGATGGGCTTTGCCTGTGATTATGCTGTGACTTCTAGACTGTTGGGAAGGCTAGTGTGACTGAATTCATTGAGTCATTTGGACGAGAGCCTGAGTCATTCCTCCTGCTGCTGTGCTGTGATAAAAGGAAGTACCAGACATCAGAGATAGAAGCTTAACCTGTTCCCAGAAAAGAGCTATTCTGGACTCGGGAATAATGAGTCGGCTTTTAAATCTCACCTGCCATTCACTTGAGGACCCAGATGAAAGTAGTTATGAAATTGCAGAGAGCTTTATGCTATTAGCTGATGCTGAAAATAGAACGAAATATTTTTTAAATGAACAAAATCATAGTCAAAATGCACTGTTGTCTTTTGTAGCCTTTTTGTGTTTAGTTTTTTTGTTGGGGTTCTTTTGGGAGGGGAGGGGTGAGGGTTGTACTGAGGGTTGCCTTTGTCAGTATTGGCATAATTTAATTTGTCTTTGCAGAAACCCGCTCCACCAAAACCTGAACCTAAAGCAAGAAAAACATCTGCTAAGGTAAGAGGTGCTCCCACTCCCACTTCGGCTTTTTAAACAGTGAATAAATTATAATTTCATATCCAAAAGTCATCCAAGGAAAGATCACATTGAATGCTTCAGGCTAAATGTACTGACTAAAAACCTGTTACCCCTGCTACAGGTTTTCTCAACGGGCATAAAGCACAGTTTAATGCTTTTACCAGGGATGTGTTTTCCATGTGGTCAGTACAGCGAAGAAAGTCGGCGAACGATGCTCTGAGGAGCCTCGTGTCCGTGGGGGTTTGGTGCTTCCTCAGGAGCGTGCTGTTCCCACGGTGCTCAGAAGGTGGGCCTGGCCGTGGGCAGTACTGCTGCCGAGAGCGGAGGACCTCGGGAAAGGGCTTCTGACTTCACATCACTGGTCTTCGTCGGCCAGTCTAACCCATAATAATCTCATACTAACTAATACTAACAAATAACTAACACCAGCAAACATTGATATGGCCCTTATACTAAGCCAGACCCTGTTCTGACTGCTTTTCTCATATAACCCTCACATCAGTCCTGCCGAGGTAGGTGCAAATAGCCCGTGTTGCCAATAAGGAAACTAAAGCACAGAAACTGACCCAAAGTGGCTTTTCTCTACTCTACTCTGCCCTCCAGAGCCTTGTCCCTTGTGAATTGTTTTAAACTGTGTGCTGTGGCGTGAGTAGGTGATGCTGAAGCAGCACTCACCTCTGTGGCTTGGTCTTAAAACAAGGACCTGGGTCTTCATTTTCAAGTTCTCTCTCAGCTTTGTAGTCACTCAAGCCCATGTCCCCACGTGAGGTGTTTCATGTGCTGGGTTCTTCCCTGGCTTTGCCTCATCCTTCACCAGCTGCTGCTGTTCTCTCCATGCCAGAACCACCTCCCACTTCATCAGGAGAGGAGGGCCACCAAACAAATGCACGAGGGGAATCATCATGTTTTCGCAGAAGGGAAGGTCCAGTAGGCTCGAAGCAGCCTGTTACATGTTCAGAGACTCCGCAGAACTCAGTTGGTGCCCAGAAAAACTGGGTTCCCATTTTCCCCCAAAAGCTACCGAGTTGGCCATGGTTGTGCTTTACCTTGCATTTGGACAGAGACTGACTGACGTTAGCTGACAGCACACCGTGTCTAACATACTCTGTGCTTCGATTCTCTGTTAGAAAGAACCTGGAACAAAGATTAACAAAGGTGCTAAAGGGAAGAAGGAGGAGAAGCAGGAAGCTGGAAAGGAAGGTACTGCACCATCTGAAAATGGTGAAACTAAAGCTGAAGAGGTACTTTGCATAAATACCTCCCACTGATTGAATCAGTGTCTTGAGAAATTGCTGGATCCTTCAGCTGCTGGTAGCATGTTCTTAATGTCTCTTTTCATTGCCTGTAATGTTATTGCAGATCCACATCTATCGCTCAACTGTTAGTGTCTCAACCTCCAGAGGTACCCCACCCAGCACATTGTCAGGAAAGGGGCAGATTGAAACAGTGAGAGTTAAGGGTACAGTAGAAAATTCTGCATGCGTGCAGTGACTAGAATTAGATAGTGGTGTGGTGCTGTTTCTTTGGAGCAGTGGGAGCTTGTAGGGATAGCTTCTGTGGTCGTTTGAAAAGCAGAAAGCAATAAATGCAGCGAAGTGTTTGCGTAATATATTCCTGCCTTGTCTGTCTCACACCCAGAGCTGAAATAGGTTTGGGGGTAGAGCTGCTAAAAAACAGATGTTCTAAAGTGTGTGTGTTGGCGGGGTGGACTTTTATTTGGCTTATAGTAGTTTTAATAGTAACTATGTTTTTTTTCCCTTTTCCCCCCCACAGGCACAGAAAACTGAATCTGTAGATAACGAGGGAGAATGAATTGTCATGAAAAATTGGGGTTGATTTTATGTACCTCTTGGGACAACTTTTAAAAGCTATTTTTACCAAGTTTTTGTAAATGCTAATTTTTTAGAACTCAACTAGTTGGCATACAAAAATATATAAGGATGGACATTTTACCTTCTTATAATACATCTTTTTGGAGATTTCCATCATCCTCAAGTCAAATAAATTTAATATTGGAAGCTGTGTGTAAAATTGATTCAGCATTCCATGCATTCGCTTTAAAAACTTAGTCCTGTGCATACTGTGGTGTTTTTACTGTGCATATTTGAATTTTTCATGCAGTTTTTCTAGAGCAATAATCAGTGGTGCTTTTGTACCTAGGTCTATGTGATTTTAATGAAACATAGGTAGTTGTGGCCACCTGCTGACTATTTGTGGTTTAAAATAAAAAGGTGCTCTTGCCTGCAAAATATCTGCTTCTTAGTGTTTTCACTAAATTTAGGCAGTGTTTCATTTTTGCAGAAGATGTAAAGAATTTCTACAGTCTGTGCCCTGAGGGTATCTTTAATAAGTCAAGTAGGATTGTTTCTTAATTTTCTGGCATTTAAAAATGCCACTATTTTAATAAAGTCATCTGTGAGTGCCAGTGTGGAATCACATCTAAAACACTTCATACCAGAAGTGGCCTGCAATGATTACCATATATAAAACAATAAGACACCACTTTTTTTGAAGTCCTTATAAACAGATAGTGTTCTGCTAAACCACAACTTGTGAAAAACCATAAACTCAGGCTCATCCTTGAAAAGTCCCCACTTTCAAAATAATACCGAGTCACATTCTTTGAGAACTTCGCAGCTTTGAAAACACTTTACCCAGCGTGACCACATTTCAGCCTTGGAGCAGCCTGAGAAAGGAGTTGGCATAGGTATTATTAGAGCTTCTTTCTAGGCTAAGAAATAGGGACATGGAGAGTATGTGACTTACTTCAGGCCCATGGGAAGAAGAAAAAACAGAACTTGAACCTGGTCTTTTGAATTGTATATGTAGTGTCTATTTTAGTCTGTTCAAGCTGCTATAACAAAATATCACAGACTGGGTAGCTTATACACAACAGAAATTTCTCTCTCACAGTTGTGGAGGCTGTAAGTCGAGATCAGGTTGCCATTCAGTAGGGTGAGGGTCCTCTTCCAGATCACAGACTTCTCATTGTATCCTCAGGTGGCAGAAGGGGCCAGGGAGCCTCTGGGATCTCTTTCATAAGGCCACTAATCCCACTCACGAGAGTTCCACCCTCGTGACTTAGGCATCTCCCAAAGCCCCACTTCTACTACCATCATCTTTGAGTGGTAAGATTTCAGCATGAACTTTGGAGGGACACAAACATTCAGACCATAGCGATGGCCTTTTGTATCTGGAAGTCCATGGCTGGGTTGGGAACAGAGGAGCTATTTTATTACTATAAATTTTTTTGTTCGCTTACATTTCCTGAGAAGTTTAGTAACTGCATGAGCACTCAGGGAAGCTGAATTCTGGGCATTCCTCTTAGATGAAGACCTTCCGAATTTTTAGGATGTGAATCGTGCCTGTGCTGCTCAGGGACTCTTACCAAAAGGCTGTTGTTCCTCAGAGCCTCAGATGCTTTTCTGTTGTGGTTATCAACAAACACAGGCCCCTCCATCATGCTTGTATTTTGTGTCATTGTCCCTAATCTAGCATTAATCTACTGCAGATAACAACCTTAGTACACAGAATGATCTCATTCAGTTTCCTTTGCTTCTGATTAGGCAATGTACCTTAATTCATGAGGGTTATATGTACTGAAAACCACTTTTACCCCCAAGAAAAATAGCTGGTATCCTGTGAGCACTTCATAAAAATATCTTCAATAATTTTTGGTACATTGCTGGCTAGCTTCCAATTCAGAAGTGGGATATAAACTCCATAGACTTACTTTTTTAAAAATTATAAAGGTGCTACAGGTAGCTTTTTTTTAAATATCAGACATTACAATAATAAATAAAGGGAAAAGTCAAAGTTTTCCTTTCCCCACTCGTGAGTTCCAGAGGTAATCCCTGCACACCATTTTCTCTATGACTATGCATACGTGTGTATGCAGGTATGCGCATACATAAACATGTACACATGATTTTTAAAGGAAGGAAATATACATCCTATCTAGAATTATTCAACCAATAAATTGTAATTGGAGACAGATTTCAAATATTGCAATGCTGCCATTGAGACTGCCAATAAACATTCTTGTGCACAAAGCTTTGCCTACTTATATATTTCTATTCAAATAAGTTCCTAGAAGTGGAATGTCTGAAGCAGAATGTCAACGGGAAGGTACATTTGACTATTGCCAAAGGCATTGTGCCCATCTACTCTGTCAACAGCGTGCAAATGACATCTCTTCTTACCTTATTTTAGTCTCATAAATGAAAAATAATGCCTTACTATTTTAATTTTAAATTTATTTTACCACAAGTAAAGTGAGTTTTTCATATGTTTAATGGTCATTTGAATTTCTTCTGTGAATTGTGATTTTTCCCCCCTATTTTTTTTACTGGGAAGTCACTGTTTTAAATCATTATTATTTACAGTGTCCATTAATGCCATTACTTTTATTTCAAACATGGGTTCTGCAGGCCATGGATATGTGTCTATTAAAATTTATGGGTATTATTACCACATTGACAAAACAAGGGACTACTATAAAGCAGACAGCTACCAAAATAACCCAGTACTTGAATGGATGTACTTACTGCAAACACATAAAAGGTGGGAGGTACCCATTACTGCCACACTGCTACCCCTTCAGTGGATTTATGCAGGCTAGAAAAAGGATCCCCTTCTCCAAACGCGTGTGCTGGAAAGTTGTAATAGCCCTTTGCATCTATAATGACTTTGAGTTACATGGCACCCCTGTTGTTAAGCAGTGAACTGCTTGTACAATCATAGGTGATGTCCTCAAATCCTTCCTGGAGACTGCCCCACAAATTGTGGTGGAGTGAGAGGGGCTTTGAGAGGCAAATGCCCTGAAATTCCTATTTTTAAATTCTGTGAAAAGATAATCTGAACCAAAAGTCAAGACCTTGTTCCAACTTTAGTGAACTGTCCCATAAAATTTTGAATGTACATTTACACAGTTAAGGAGTTTGAAACAGGTCATGGAAAAAAGATTTTCCTTGTCCTCAATTTTTAGAGGACTTCACTCTTTTTTTAAAAAAAAAATATTTTTATTGATTTCAGGGAGGAAGAGGGAGGGAGAGAGAGATAGAAACATCAATAATGAGAGAACATGATTGATCAGCTGCCCCCAGCACACCCCACAGTGGGGATTGAGACTGCAACCTGGGCATGTGCCCTGACCAGGAATCGTACCGTGACCTCCTGGTTCATAAGTCAGTGCTCAACCACTGAGCCACGCTGGCTAGGCAAGGACTTCACTCTTGATTAGAGGTACAGTGCTGTTCCTTAAGTTGCCAATCCTAGCAGGCATGGGAGGTTGTCTCAACTTCTCAAATGTATAAGAGCCATTACTGAAGCCTAACCTCTTCCACAGTAAATCCTTCTTGTACCTCTAATGGAGTCCATTTTAGAAAGATGTTAGCCACAAACCCACAAGAAACTAAATAACTTATTGAATGGCTTTTTAAGTATTATTCACTTGGTTGTTACAGAGTACCAACAAATGACAATTTGGACTTGGTATAAAGAAAGTTCAGTTGTACTTCCGGGAAATAATTGGTTCTGAGTATTTCCTGTGGCTCTTACACAGCTGTCTTTTTGACTAGAAGAGTCCAGTCTGTCACAAAATGACCTGAGGAATTTGAATGGCTTGGCAGGTAAAAGAGAATTTGAGGGGAGTAGAGGATGGGAGGAAGGGGGTCTCAGAGTTGGGAATCACAGAACTGGGGTAGACCTTTGTGAGCATCTGATGTCCTTTCCTTCTTAGAGGTGAGTCGCCTTTGAATTCCAAAAGAATTGGTGTATTTTTCCCTCCTGGGAAATTTTCAAGGTTTTCTAATAGTAGGCTTTAAATCAGGAGAAGATGATTTAAAAATATGCATTCACTCTTTTTGATGGAATTCAATTTGAGAAATGGTTTAAAAACTGGTTTATTCAGCACATACTAAGTCCCACAAGCTGCATTTAACTAGCGACTGTTAAGCAGCTACTGTGTTCTGAGCACTTTGCTGGAGAAGTAATGGCAACCCCAAGAAGAGATGTCATTTTTGGCTTTGTTCTTATGAGATGAGACAGGCCTTGGCCATATGCACTTCCAGATTTTTTAAATAGAAAGTTTAATACTGATTCATCAAAACTGAGGCAGTAAAATCCTTGAGTGTCTACATTGTTCCCCATGGTGGAGAGAAGCAAATGAGAATTTCACTGATCTTCTCTGACACAATGAGTTGCTTTTCCTCTTGCATTCACACAGCACTTTTCTTGACCTAAATTTTGTACTTATTTCATTCTGTCCGAATCTGTAAAACAATGTTTCTTTTTTATTTCCTCAAGTAGAATTTGATCCTCTTCAGGCAGGGAGTTTTTCTTCCTTAAAATCTTTACTGTACTTACCTGGTGCCTGGTACTTAGTAGTTACTCAATGAATGTTTATGGAATGTTTAGATGAACTAATTGTAAGTCCACGTTGTTTTCCCAACACTCAAAGTATTACTGATCTCTGAGGGAGGCAAATCTAAAATATATAAAAAAAGGAACAGAAAACTGCAGGGTATAAAATTAAGTGTTAAATGTGTTAAGTTCAGACAAAAGACTCCAGGAGACCAGAGAAGAGAACCATCTTGAGCAGCAGGGGAGAGATTTAATGGTGGTGAAAGCATAGTACTCCCGTTTTTGAAGGACGTATGAGTGAGTCAGAAAGGAGCTGAAGGATCCTTCAGACAAGTAACAGCCTTTATAAAGGCCGGAGGAAGTATGTGAAGTGAAACATTCCTGGAGTAGGTTCATCTAGCAGAACCATGTTTTAGATACCTGAGCAAATCCATTCACTGTCTCCTGCTTCCATTTCTTTTGTAAAATGATTGGGTTGGATTTTGATAATGGCTGTTGAAACCATTGTTTTTAAAGCAGTAGGATACTGCTTGAGTAACTACTAAGTACCAATCATTCTTTCTTGGTGGGGCCTTCAGGGTGCGGATGACACACTTTCTTGGCCATGACCTCACCCTTTGAGGCCGTTCCTAAGGCTCATTGGCTGGACCAACAGAACACAATGTGAAGGCCAGTGAATCAGGGAATATCTAAAGGCCTGAGTGGCATGATGACTCTGCCCAACCATCAATGTGCACAGTTTGTGCAGAAAGACAGGGACACCATGGCTGGAGTAAAAAGCTGATGGTGGGAAGCAAGGGAATGGACTGGGAACATCCAACACTCAGGACCATGCCTAGCACAGTCAGCACTGGAGAATGTCATGTAAATGCCTGTGGGGGTGTGATGTTGTAGGCTAGGAATGAGAGATCCACGTGCTCAGGAAGCCTTGAGTGCTGGTCACCAGTATTTGTACTTAACTCAGCAAGAAACATGGAGCCTCCCTAGGTTTTTTCCCCAGGGAAGAGGCAGGATGGGCATGATGTCTAGGGAAGAGGAGCCTGGCAGCTAACTGGATCCCTCAATCAACCTATATAGTCCCTTTAATTAGAACATAGTCTGGCTATTGCATATTAGAGAACTATTGTTAGTTTTTCTAAGATGTAATTATGGTTATTTTTAGCAAATGTGTGCTGAAGTTTTTTTTAGGAGTGAAGGGTTTTGATAGCTCGAACTTACTTTCAAATAATTATATACATAACTTATATATGCAACATATGCGCACATATACCATCTGCATAGATAAAGAAAATATGGCAAAATGTTAATTGTTAGATCTTGTGGTAGGTATACAAGGGTTCCTTATACTTTTCTGTATGCTTGTATATTTTTATAAGAAAAGGTTAGAAAAGAAGTGGGGGAAATGTTTGTTCTTTAATCCTCTTATCAGAGCCAGAGGACAATTAATGATGATAGTCATACACATCAGGAGCGTACTTACCCTGTGCCAGGCTGTGTAGTAAAGAATTTGGCCTGACCCAGGCTTTGTCCCTAGCTCAGTGATGGCGAACCTATGACACGCGTGTCAGAGGTGACACGCGAACTCATTTTTTTGGTTGATTTTTCTTTGTTAAATGGCATTTAAATACATAAAACAAATATCAAAAATATGAATCTTTGTTTTACTATGGTTGCAAATATCAAAAAATTTCTATATGTGACACGGCACCAGAGTTAAGTTAGGGTTTTTCAAAATGCTGACACACCGAGCTCAAAAGGTTCGCCATCACCGCCCTAGCTCCTGAAAAGTAATCTTTAAACCCTTGGAATTTCCCAAGTGATAAGAGTGTCTTTGTTATTCATGTTATTCAATTCTGGACAGAGGTGGAATGTGAGGGTTGCGGGGGATGTACTGGAGACTTTGTTCAAACCCCGGGGCAATCACTCAATTAATCACGCCTATGTAATGAAGGCCCAGTAAAAAAAACTCTGGACTCCAAAACTCTGATGCACATCCCAGATTGGCAGTACTCCATGTGTATTGTCACACATCCCTACCAGAAGGATGACTCGTCCTGAGGACAATGGAAGCTTTCCTTTGGAACCCTCCTAGACTCTGCCCCATGTCTCTCTTCCTTTAGCATGTTCTAATATGTATCCTTTCCCTGCACTTACCCACACGTGTAATAGCTTTCAGTGAGGTCTGTGACTCCTTCCAAATTATGGCATTATCAAACCTGGGGTTGGTTTTGAGAACTCCCTGAACTTGCGATTGATGTCAGAAATGATGACAGTCTTGGGGCCTGTGCCCTTAGACTGCAGTTGGCTAACACCAAGCATGGCATTCTTTTGCATGCATATTTAATACTCATGAGTTGGATGGGACCTACCATTTTGCCTGTTTTACAGATAAGGAAACTCCAGAACAGATAGATAGCGAACTTGCCCAAGGTGATACAGTGAGTAGAATTTAAACGCTGGCAGACTGCCCCAGAGCTTGTGCATCTCGCTGATAAGAAAGCAAGCTTGTGTCAGGGATATACAATGAAAAGAATCCCAGGGTAAGTGGGTTCAGGGAGCAATGTAGTCTGAGTCTTGTCTCCTTCATTCTCTAACTGCTGTTCTGCACAATAATAATGAACCTTCTGAATCAAAACCCTGAGGCAAAGAAGACACAGTGCCCTGAAAGATTCAGTGATGTTGGATACTC